CTTCTAGGATGGGAATCAAAGGAGGAAACTCCTCCCTCCCTCCTCACCCGCTCCTCTACACAAGAAAGTTGTTGGCAACAGACTGAATAGCTGGGCTTTGGCTCGCGGCCAGTTGTTTTGATGTGTCCAGATTGTTCGATCGCAGGCAGGGCACCCTTGGCACCGGTCAAAAGCAAGCTGTCGGGGGCGGGGGAGGGCGAGGGAGGGGTGGGGGGGGAAACATCGCCCGAGTGTGTTTGGTGGAATGTGCTAACTCCACCATCCTGTGGCAAAGTTCAGCCACTGCAGATAGCACAAAACAGTGCTCAGAGCCAGACCTTCCACGGCCCGGCAGTCAGACTCAAATCCCGCTCCCACTCTGTTCGAGGAGCCCGTCTCTCCCCCACCCCTCCACCCAAAAAAAAAAACTCGCCCCGGATAATTAGCTTCAGAAACGTGCCGTGAAGCACGTCAAAGAATTGTCCGCGAACTACTGTATCCCTGACTGAACTGAGTAAGCAGGACCATCTTAAGGGAGTGTGTGCGAAATACAAAATGGAGGCTTTACAGTCAGGTCTTTAGTTACGACTCGCTGACGTCGTTAATCTCGACGCGCGCAAACTTCCTCCGCCAAGACGGGAAAGCCTCTCTTTCTCGTCCGGCACGTTTCAGCCTTGCATTTGACGGCCCGCACACCACTCTCCAGGCAACAGAGACAAGCCCACACGGGGCTCAATGCAGCCAGGAGTGTGGTGATCTCGGCGTTCAGGTTTCACAAATTAATACCTGAAGGTGGTAACGAAACTCCTTCATATTTGTACAACTGTTAACCTCGTGTCCCACTAGAGATTCCACCCCCCCACCCCCCACTTCCTTTTTTACGTCAGTGTTATTACAGCCGTTATCTCCCGATGAGTGATTCCAAACTCTCGGGTATTTCATTGACAGTGCTTCAGTGCCAAGGTTTTTCAGGTGAACAGGGGGAAAAAAATGCAGGTGGGGAGACAGATGTCACAGCGATATAGTTCCCCTGCCTCCATTTCCATTGTAAAATGCGTTATGTAACTGCCTGCAGGAGGCTGGGTTGCAGGTGTGCAAAACACTTGTATTTTTATGCTAAATTTATACAATTTTACACACGCAGACAAAATGCACATCTACATCCATAACTACATGGACCCACACACACATACAGATATACTTACGTATGTATTGATAAGCACACAAATACATACATACATACACACACACACACACACACATCCATACATACATACATACACACACCTGCATATATACGCACATACATACACACACACCTATGCAAATAAACACAAGTCTTTGAGTATTTAATTTTAAATCGAATGAGAGTACGTTGCAGCACCAAACATCAGAGGGTTTCTCAGAAGCATTCTCCATAGCGGTTGTGCAGTGAATAACCTTATACCTTTGGAACGTGGGGTTGAAGGCATTTGAGTCTGGTTGGACATTTCACACCCTGGGGGTTAAATTGGTTTCGTCACTTTCAACCTAACTTGAACACCAAACTGGCAATTGCATTCGGAGAGTTTTGCAAGAGTTAAAGGCGCTAATACATGTAAATTGTATTCTACACTATTTGGAGTATAGAGCTTCTGACTATTGGTCCTTATTTGAAGAGTATTTAAAAATACTATTTTGTTTGGCAAGTTCTTAAATGCCGTAGTAATTTTTGAAGCTGCTTTTCTCTTATTATTTGGTCACTCAATCCACGACTGTTTGTGAGATGTTTCTGTGCGCAATTGGCTGCCGCATTTTGTACACAAATATACAGTCAATTCGATTTACAGTATATTCTGTGAAGCGCTTTGAGACGTCTCGAAGACGTGATCAGCGCTGTAACAAATTCTGTTATTAGGTCAGCTGCTCCACTGTTTAATTTAGACCTCGTCATTAAGGTGAGAGATGTTAGTGTTGGGAAATGGCGTAATATCCTGTCCTGTGCACCTTGTAGAAACGCAAGGATTATAGTCAAAGTCCAGACTGAATTCAACAGTTTAGAAAATGCTGCACACTCCGAAATAGAGTAAACCGGGGTCTCAGGTTGAATTTCTCCCCCAACGTTTTACCAGCTTACAAGAGCTCAGGTACTCTTCTTTAACAACACGTCTGACACGCAAAGCATCCATGCAGCCCTGATTGTGCAGGAAGGTACATGTTGAAAGCGAGGTGTCGTCAGTAAAGGCAGCAGACTTTCTTTTGGGTCGGCCGGGTGTCTGACACACGCGGAAACCCAGCGCCGTGTGCTTCAGAGTATCCCAATCGAACTGAGAATTCCATGCATCCCCACCTGCGTCGTGGAAATCCAAGAGATAGATTGTTGGAGGGACCCGTCCGGCTTACCCATCTCCGGTATTAAGCACAGGGTGGCAAGAGCCAAGGCTTGGGGGCCCCAGAGGGTGCGTTGGGGTAACTGCTGGAGCCTAACCAGCCAAACCAGCCTGTGAGCGTCCCGGTGGGCGACACCTCTCAGTGTGAAGCGGGTGACGGCATTGCCCACCGACTTCGCGCGGTACCAGGCCTAAAAGGGAGTTTAGGAGGAACTTCTTCGTGCAGCGGTGTGAATGTGGAACTTACCGCCGCGAGCTTCGCTCGAAGGAGAAAGTGCGTTAGTCTGTTCAGGAAACAAATTGATGCGGGCGCGGGGAAGAGAGAGAGAGAGAGATAGGAGAAGGGAATCCGGAGAGGTAGAGGTCTCTTGTGGAGTGTAATGCCAGCGTGGACTGGATGCCAGATAGTCTGTTCCCATGCTGTAATGTTCTATATAATTCAGATAGAATGTGTGAAAACCGCATTGCGTGTCTTTCAAAGAAATGATTGGCAAAGATACAGTCCCGATTGTTCTGAATACTTGAATTGCACAGAAATAACTGGAGGAACTTAAATCCTGATTTGGCTATTATTTCCCCCCCCCCCCCCACTCCCCTCCCCCAACTTGTAACCTCCAAGCAGCGAAAACTTTGTTGGCGAATTTAAGCCCTCCCGTAAAGTGGTTGAAATTCGTACCGTCCCGTGAGAATGAACGTCAAGTTTGGGTCAGTGCAGTAGCAGCCGAGTGCTGCAAACAAGGAGTGCGCATTCCCCTGTGTGTCCCACAGATGTTTTCAGTAGACTCTGCAATTGCTGAGTACGAATAGCTACTTAACGGCCTCCCCTATGGAAGCCAGAAGATCAACACTGCAACTAGCAGAAGACAGAGCAGATAGGTTCGTTCCCCTGACAGGCGGAGGGTGGCAAACCTCACGGAGCAGGTCCTCGACCAGCTGGTCTTTGATCAGCTCAGCGCACAGCCCTTTCCTTCGCTGACACTGACGCAGCGTCTTTTTTTTCTTTTAACGCCTTCCCCCCCCCCCCCCGTCGAGTCCTGCTGTAAATGCAGAGAAGTCCCCGCTGAGCTTTTTTCAGCCTTCGCATCGATACACGTCAGGGACGAGGAAAGAAAAGAAGACACTGTTTTTTTTTTTCCCCCGTTAAGACATGAAAAAGAACGGCCACCGCATGCGGCAACTAGTGACAGTTAGACGATACACCTCAGCGAGGAGCCTTGCGTGACATCAGGAGAGCACACACAAATCATTCCCAGTCGAGCTGTTTAGAGAAACCCTTCACGTACGGATTATTATTCAATGGCTAGCAATCCATATGTATTGGAGTCCTGTAGCTCAGTGGTTAGAGCACTCGCCTTGCAAGCGAGACACCTGGGTTCAATTCCAGGCAGAGGGCGAAACCTTGAGCAAGTTTCCTTACTCCACACAGAGCCTAATAATAATCCCTCCAAAACCAAAAACAATAATAAATTGGTCATTTTCAGTCCCCGGCTGTTTGTGGGACATTGCTGTGCGCAATTGGCTGCCATGTTTCGCCTACAAATATACAGTCAATTCACTTTACAGCATATTCTGTGAAGCACTTGAGAGGTCTAGAAGACGTGAAAAGCGCTATATCAAATGCAAGGATTATTATTATTATTTGTCGAAACAGCACTCTCAGAAATATTGGGGTAAGCACTTCTTGTTGACAGTCGCTCATCTACATGCACATCAGAGGCACCAATCCTTAACAGTTCTACAGCGGTATTTTTCCGCTATATTATTCAAGCAGCGATAAACTCTTGGCCTTTGCGCTCATGAAGTGAGCACACGATCCATTTGAGCAAAGGGAAAACGTGCAACTAAAGTGAAACTTAAACCAGGAGGGTTGCTGAGACTATATAAGCCTGATGACATAAATGAGGTATCTCTATCTTTTCGTGTCTCGGTGGGCACTGCGCTTAAAAGATGTCAAAGATCTCACAAGATTTGTTTGGGTGAAGAAGGCCTATGCGATCTCATCTTTCTTGAATACCAACCCTACTGTCCCACCATCACAGCATCAAGCTGTTGTTTTTAAATGAGTCCCAATGCCCTGACCTCAGCCACAATTTCTGGCAACCTGTTCCAGTTGTTAATTGCCCTCTGGGTAAAGAAATACTTCCTGGTGTCTGCCCTGAAATTGCCCTTTGCAACTCCAAACCTCCCGTCTTGGTGAATACTTTATTGCAGATTGTTATCCTATTCTAACAACAGTCCTGGTAAGAATTGGTGCAGTAGACGTACAGTGCCTTTCTCAGCGGCAAGCGTTTCACAGGATTTACTGGAACGTGTGGTGACTGTGCACTTTGTGGGTGAATGTTTAAGCAAGCATAGCACATGAAACACCAGGGCTTCATATCGCACCTACGGAACAATAGCTAAAACGCCAAATAGAGCTAATAGCCTGCGAAAAACGATAGCACTCCTGAGCGCCGTGGGCGCTATGAGGCAGCCGATGACAAAATAAGCCGCTCTCTGTCGACGTTTACCGAGACTGTACTTTGAATTGCTTCTGAATCCAAACTGGCTGTAATTTGAACCTTTGCAAGCAGGAGTTATATTTATATGGTTGTGTGTGTGTGTGTGTCTGTGTCTGTGTGTGTGTGCGTGTGTGTTTTTCTTACACGACAGAGGCAACGGTGTTGAACTACGATGGAAGCAAGTTCATGAAAATCCAGCTGCCGGTTGTGATGCACACAGAAGCCGAGGATGTATCATTGCGCTTTATGTCCCAGCGAGCGTACGGCATCTTGATGGCCACCACCTCCCGAGACTCAGCGGACACTCTGAGACTGGAGCTCGACACAGGGCGAGTCAAGCTCACCGTTAATCTAGGTAACATCCACTTCACCCGACGTTTCATCACATTTCAGGTTTTTTTTTTCCCCCCACCCCCCCACCCCCCCCCCCCAAAAAAAAGCTTCACCTCATTGCAAAAAATGTGATCGTCGGATTTTTTATCGACCCAATTATTTAAGAAAACTGCCAATGAATCTTATTGCAACATTGTCCTAAGCCCATCTTTTGAGATTTTTATGTTTTGCCGTAGTTTGGCTCACCCTCCCATGATTAAAAGACAATTTCTTTTTTTGTTGTTCCATCGTAAATAATGCACCGTGTTCAAGGAGTTTCTTGAGCTATGTTGTGAATTTCGTTCTCACGTCCCTTTGGTTTTCTTCTCCACGTTGTTCAGACTCATCGTTTCTGTCTTGTTTGGGACTCTGAAATGAGAAGCCTTTATGATTGTTTTGAGGTGGGAATAAATAGCAGAAGAGGGTTTCGTTAGAAAACAGCATAGAGTAAGCGCAATGTGCAGGCGCAAGAGATAGAATCGCACGATGAACCACGTAAGTGACATTGTGCGCTAGGTCTGTAAATTTATTGATGGCTAATAACACAGCGATTATTTTTGAAATGACAAAAAAAAAAAGGATCTGCTACAGGATTTTGTAAATTACATGTTGAAAATCCAATTATATCGGGTTAGTTGAGAAATGCGAGCGTAAAAACATCTAATAATGTCTTAATGTTATTGAGATAAATGTGCGTAGAGCAGATGTTTGGAGACTACGATTGATGGCAGACTGTAGCTATTCATCTGCACTTTAATAATTGGGTGATTTCTTCTACATCATCAGAGTTCTTAACAAGAGCAGCTTCCACCGCTTCCACCTTGGTTCCTTTTTATCTTCCACGAGTTCATTTTTTGTTGTATTGTGGTGATATTTACGCCCTTGTTTTGTATCAAAAGATGGTACCAAACCCTTCAAAGGCCAAGGTCTGCGGCCCTAAGCAAACAGCCACGCGAACAAGAACATACAGCTTCTTTTACAGCGAAAATGCTTGCTTTGAACTCAGTTTTTTAACGCCTTGTGTACAATGACGTGACACTAAGGTCAGACAACTGGGTTAAGAAAAAAACGTACAGCCCCCCCCCCATACGAGTCAGTCTGCAGCGCTGGTTGAGAAAGAAGCCTCACGCCAGCGAGTTTCGGAACATATCGCTGTGGGTTTGAGACACAGACTCAGTGTTGTGTTCCTAGCTGGCTTGGAGTGAACGTTGGCACTGTGCATCCGAGCAAAATTATGCGAAATAAACTCGGAATATGTCCAATCCCAACCCCCACACCCCCAAACTGGAGAGAGAGAACAGCAGGTTCCCCCAGTTTGTATCACCTGGTAGAGAATCATAGAAACTGCAGCACAGGGAGGTCAGGTCATTTTGCCCATTGAGATTATAACTACTGTCAGCTCCTTTATAATCCTATTTTCTTGCGCCACTTCCCTCCTAAACGTTATATGCCGTTAGCATCAGCAGTCTCCGAGGCTGCAGCATTCCATGTTTCAATGCACCACGGCCGGCGGGAATATCTTCGTGGCTCCCTCGCAACTCTTACAGCGCAGAAGGAGACCGTTCAGACCAGACCGTTCTGCCCGGACTTTCGGAGAGAGCTGTATCGTGCGAGCCTTGCCCCATCCCCACGCCTCCCTTCGAACCTTTTAATTTTCACATGCACCTGATCGTCCTGAGTTTATAGCCCTTTTGCCGACCGGAGAGGAATAATCCGTTCCTATTCATTCTCCCCCCACCTTTCTTAAATGATAAGGTGGACCCGGTTTGAAACAAATAACAGTGGACAGCAAAACTGGGCGCCTGAAAACCTCCGCGACAACATTGCCACGAGAGCTGCCAATGCCCTCGTGGAATGTTTGCTTGCGGCTCCTCCTAGTGAGAAAGCGGGAGCACTGCCGACAATTCGTTTGTTCAGATCGATCGTAACCGTGGGCACGTAGGAACAGGAGGAGGCCATTCAGCCCCTCGAGCCTGTTCCGCCGTTCTGCGGGATCAGGGCCGACCTGCGTACCTCGCGCGCCCTCGCCCGCCCTGGCCCCGTATCCCTTAATATCCCGACCTAACAGGATCTTTCTCTCCCGACCCCCACCCCCACCGCCCGCCTGTTTCTGGTGACGGAAAGGTCCTGGTTCTCCTCGCTTAACAATCAAACGATGGCACCCCCCCCCCCACAGTCTTGGCGCGCGGATTTCTTTACACTTTTTTTTTTAAAAAAAAGAAAGAAAAAAATAAGTAAAAGCAAAGGATTTCCTGTAAGGAGGTTTGTACATTTTGGTCTTTGGCTGTTTGCACCCACTTTTCTGTCGCGGTTGACGACACATGACAAACCCAGCTACGTGAAAGTTAACCTAGAATGCATATTGATTGAAATTCCTCAAGGGTACTTAAGATCACCTTAAAGAAATTGGCCACCCAACGCCCCCTTCCCCGCACCCCCGAACCACCCCCCCCCCCCACCCCCACCACAACACTCCTCACCCGACGCATTTCACTGGCAAATATCTCAACACACATTAGTCCTTTTGACCTTTTATTTTCCGGGCGGGAGGAGTGGAAAACGTCCGAATCAATTCAAGCCCCGTAAATAACATTTACCGACTGTTTTTTTTTTTGGGGGGGTTCTAGAAAACAAATGTGTGTTTTTTTTTTGCTCCGGCAAGGTTTCAAATATTTTGGCTTGCTGAGCAAGTTCGCACACACGCGCGCGCGCGCGCTCACGCACGCGCTCACGCACGCGCACACGCGCCAAAAGAAATGGGGACACTTTGAACATTTGAATCGCATTCCTAAATTGCCAGAACATGTTCCGGGTAATGCCGTCTCAAAACTGTGCTCCCAGCAAAAGAAACGCTGTCAAGCATCAAAGAGCCTTTGAGGAACGTAACAATGGTCAAAGATACGTGATCTGGGCAAAGCGCTGTCTGCAACCCCACTGTGACGGAGCACAGCTTATTTTCAAAGTAGGCGGCTGTGTTCTTTCACAGATGAGGAGAAGCCTGCGACTTGTCTGGGTCAAATATCTTTGATGTGACAAAATTTCACTTCCGTCTAGGTTCGGGCATCACGTAGCTGATGTTTGCAAGTGGCCATCTGCTTATGTTCTTCACTAAAGACAGAAAGTAAGCTAAATAACCAATGCTATAGTGTGAACGCCACTCTGGCAGTAAGATTTTTTTTATCAATAACATTCAGAAAGACCAGAGTAAAATGGCCACAGTTGCGTGTGTCTGTCCCCGGAAGGGTGGAATGTGATTTTTTTGGATGTCTGCAGCTGTTACCTTGAAGGATGCAATTTCATTTTTCATCTATTCTTCCCCATCTAGACTGTATCAGGATTAACTGTAATAACAGTAAGTTGATGTTCAAAGTTTCTTTCACTCTTTTTTCTCCTACTTTAAAACACTTTGTAAAAGTAGAATTTAATTTGTTAGCCTAGAGCGAGATGTGTACTTTTAAGGGTAATTCAGAATGTAATTGCGATCTGTTTGGCCAAACAACGTTGCAAGGCCCTGGTCAGGTTTCAGATAATGCATGGAAAAACCTTACCTTAATTGCATGCAATTGGAAAGACCTTTTTTGTTTGTTTGTTTTTTTTAAAAAAAATGTCGAAAAGCGAGGATTGTGGCTTTCAAAAGAAAATGACAAACACAGAAAAGTTTCCTGGCTAAACCGCTCAAAGTGGGGGAAAAAAATACGACAAGAAATATTAACCAGTTTAATGTTCAGTTCAGTCGACGCCCTGAGATACAGCACATTTCAGTGTTCTGAACAAGAAGTTCCAAGTTGAAATATTAGATAATACGTTCAGCACATTTCCAGTGTACTGCTGCCATTGATTCTCGGTACGCAGAGTTTAACAAGGTTATTTGACCCAACAAACGAGGGAACAAGTTGCCGCAGCTGTGCAGTATTCAGTGACGAAACGATCGCAAGATTGCACTGTTCTTCAAAAGCACCTCTGTTGAACTTTTGGCCACTCGGATATACACTGCTGAAATTTGTTAGGNTTTTAGGTAAAACGAGAGAGAGAGGAAAAAAAAACCCCACAACCCAGCGAAACCCGGAGGCACGTGGCTCGCGGGAAAGTGCTTCACCGAGGGAGGAAGAAACAAATGAGGTGAACTGGTGAAGGAGAAGTAGGAGTGTGAAGGTGATGCCAAGCCTCGGTTTTCAAAAGCCCGTGGCTCACAGGCGATAGGGAAGCCCGAGGAGATAAAAGAGTTCCACAAGCTTTGGTTACTGGGGAAAGAATGCATTGGAGTCAGACATTTCAGTGATTTTTAATTTCTGCACAGCGAGGGTAAGGCAGGTAAGGCGACTAGCTTGTGAGTCAACGCATTCAATCCTCTGGAGGCGCAAGAGAGGAATGACCATGTTTCTGAATGATTATTACTTATTACCCACCATATTACAAAGGGATTATTGAGTGGGATCGGGGTGGGGTGGGGGGAATAAATGCTTTGGCCTAGTACAGGCAAACTGAGCTTCTTTGAGGCTATTTTATTCAATCGAAGAGGTGTGAACGTTTGGTCCGAGATCAAGGGAGGCAGAAAGAACAGTGAGACCCAGAGAAGAAGACGAGGGATTCAATGTGCAGACGTCCAAGGTAAGAGACACAGCTGGTATATCAGTCTTGCGAGAAACGTAGAAGAAACTGTGGCTTTGAGGAACGGAAAGAAGCAGGTTCCTCATTGCCCCCATTGCTGGAGGAGATCAAAGTTGTTCAGTGTATGTTTTGGGTCACGACATGTCAAGCGACTTGCCAGGATGGTGGAAAGCAAACTGGATGGGCCTTGGTCTTCTTTCACCCAGAAAATTCTTGCGTTCTTAACATAGAGCTTTTGCGATTGCCATCAAAACGTCAACTCTTCCTTTAAATATTTGTAATATTCCAAACATTGAGGTGTGTATTCCACAGCGTGTAATAGGTTTTGTTTTTTCAAAGCAAGCAGTTCCTCACAGAGATTTGTGTGGGACATCCTTTGCCCAAAATTGCTGCTACGACTCAATTCATATATCTATATATATATATATTTAATCCTTACATTTGATATACTGCCCTTCACATCATGGAAGACGTCTGAAAGCCCTTAAGATGATGCAATTGTATTAATAAGTGTAGTGATCATGCATTTTCCACGAGAACACAGCAGCCAATTTGTGCACCTCACAGTCCCATCAACAGGCACGTACTTCTTTACAGGATGGTGGTGAAAGTACTTGACAATATAGTAGCCGGATGTGATTGGGGACATGGCACAGATCTACGATTAGTTACGTTTTATAACCGAACGAGAACGGCAGCTGAGATCCGTGACTAGTGTGGCTAGTGGAGCACTCTGGCAAGAAACCTGGCTAGTGACAGTTCTTCCTCAATCTCTCTCATCCCCAGTTTGAAGGCACATTTGTATCCGTTGGGGGTAAGACTTGCACCCAGAAGGCACAAACGGCTGATCACATCAACAGGTTAGAGCCACGGAAACAACACCTATAGCGACTGATGTCACTCTTTACCATCCATCTTGTTGCCCGAGCTGAAGATATCGGCTCGTTTTGCTCCCACCACGTGTTGTGGTCTCGCCAACTGATTTCTCGTTGCCTCCTGTTGTTTTTGTCTTTTATTTTTTAGAATTAAGTAGCCCGTTCTCGCCGGTGATATTCCCACTCGAGTCAGCTTCAAATATACGATACAAAAGTCTAAAAAGCTGTACCTGCGTCGCGCCTTTCACATCGGGAGCACGTCCCAGGACGCTGGACAGTCAGGGATTTGGACCCGAGCTGACGTGGTGGGAATATACACTCGTGTGTGAGTTATACGGCCACCGTGACAGTGGTGTGGCCTCAGCACTCGCTGTCTGTGTGTAGCCGGCACTGGCGTTTTCGCTTCCTAAGTCACACCAGCCTGCACTCAAGTCCTCTTGCTCTGGAGTCTCCCAATGCCGCTAATCCAGATGTGCGAGGTGAAGGTAGGTCAGGAAGCTGGAAACCAGTGCTTTGAAACCAATGTTGACTCCACCATTGCCGCTCACCACTGCTGCAGACTTGACTTAAAGCATAAAGCTGCACAGTGTACGTACAGTGTACACAGATGAATACGACCATCCCAGCGAGGCCCGGCACATGCCCAGGTAAGTGAAATATTGGAGGCGGTTTCTGTGATCTTTTTTGGGGGGGGGGCTGGTCAGCCGGGTGTCTGGCACATGTGGAAACCCATCACCGTTGCTTAGGAGTAAAGCAAACTGCATCCCCACCTACAATTGGAAAATCCAGAGATATTTGTTGGAATGGAATGCGCACTCTCTCCCTGGAGGGTTGTATCCTGCTTTCCCTGATTCCGGAAAACGTTAGGTGCAGGTTGGCAAGAGCCAAGGCCTGGGGACTCCAGAGTGTGGGCTTGGGTCCCGCTGGGGTTTAACCAACTAAAACCGTTGGTTTTAGTTGGTTAAACTGGTTAGTTGGCGAGCTTTCCTGCTGCTTCTTCAGCCTGGGCCCTACCCTTTAGGGCTTTGGCTCGCAGGGTTAAGGGGAGCGGAGTACGAAGAGTGTCCCACAGTGCCTTTCTACGTGCTACTGACGAGATAGTCTGGCTGTGCCGTCACCAGCTGTGCCCTGGAGTCCTGCGGACCCGCCTGGCTCAGGAACTGGACGACCGAGACACCACAGAGGGTTGGCTCGATTCTGGCATTCCATTCCCAAACACGTCACCTTTCTTGTGCTGTGCAGGCCTTGGCTGAGACAGGTTGTGGTATCGTATCAGGAAAGGGCCTCAAGCTTGTCACAACTGGCTCGCCGACAAACAGAAGCTGTCACTCAGAAGACAGTCCCCGTGCTGATTCACCTCAGGTGTCTGTTGTACAATTTCAAACACGTGTCCTTAGGTAGTAGAAGACAGCACAGTCGAAGAGGTAGTTTGTTTAAGGCGAGATTTGAAGACAGATCGAGACCTAGGGGTCAAGAGAGGAATTTCTAGAGGTTTTTGGGTGTAGAATTGGAAAGCAGGGCCACACGTGGTCCCATTTGACAGACAGAATGTCCGCCCAGTCCTGCCAATACCGCATTAGAGAGTCAGCCTACACCAGTAGAGGCCAACCCATGGCCTTTGGGTTGGAAGAGACCCACTGAAGATTCACGCTCATCTCGGCGAGTCCATGTTCAATCGACAGTGCGTTTCCAGTTTTGTTCTCGGTTGAATATTTCTCGATTCATGCCAAAAAATCAAGAAACATTCAAACGAGAAAATTTAGGTTGTTGGCCGACCGAAAAGTTTGGTTCGCCGATGGCCTAGAATATGAGCTCAAGTTCTAATTAAAATATTGATCCTGAAGGCTTTTTTTGGGCCCTAAATGTTTTTTTTTAACACACAAAAGGTAGTGGAAATCTGGAACTCTCTCCCCCAAAGACTGATTTTCGATAGATTTTTGTTAGGTAAGGATTTCAAGGGATATTGAGTGGGTAAATGGAGTTGAGGTACAGATTAGCTGTGATTTAATAGAATGGCAGGACAGGCTCGGGGGCTGAATGGCATCCTCCTGTTCCTATAGCCTCTCTTTTCATTGTGACTATCAGATTGAGTTGATCAACTGTCTCAGACTGAAGGCATTTTGACATCGGGGTTGAGTTAGCTGCTTGACAAATACAAATACTCAATCAATAATACGGTCTCCTTCCTCTTCACCGATGTCTGCAGCGATGTCTCAGAGGGCAACTTTGTAAAGGACGTAAGATGCTAAATGGGAAACAGGAAGCAAAACCCAAACACTAAACTCAAAGCCACCAAGGCAGCAGGGTTGGGAAGAGCAATATTGTGACAAGGGAGCTTACAACGAACGGCAGGCAATGAATGGCTGGAATGGGTTACCAAGAAGGGTGGTTGACCACAGGACACTGGACTCGTATCGGAAACAGGGTGACGTTGCACTGTGAAGATGACGAGGTGGGGTTCAGAGCAGAATTAAGATTTGGCAAATAATTCTGTTAAAATAGTAATAATATATATACATACATAATCCTTGCAGTTCATAGAGTGCCTTTTGCGTCTAGCGGACTAACGTGTAGTTACTGTGCCGTTTGTGGGTGAACTCGGTAGCCAATTTGTGCACCGAAGAACCCCACACACAGCCAGTGAAAGACTAATTCCATCTGGGGATTGTCGGCCAGGACACCAGAGAGAGAGAGAGAGAGAGAGAGAAACTACCCTTCTCTTTTCGAATAGTGCCGTGGGATTTTTGACGTCTACCCTGGAGCAGGCAACCTGGCCCTCGTTTTTACATCTCATCCCGAATGTCGCCATGAATAGTTATTCCGCCCAATGAAAAGTGATGTGGTTTCACTGGAATAGTTTAAGTCAGCG